CCCCAAAACCCCAAAACCCCAAAACCCCGCTTATTCGAAATTGCTATTAAGAAGTAATGTTATATTATTAAATTAAGGCGTTTAATAGAAATATAAATTTAATATCGATAAGTATCTTATTCAATCTTTGATTTGTTAAACGCTCATATCTAGCAAAAGGTCTTAGCTTTTTTGCATTAATTCTAAGTTTATACTTGGCAGTAATTCCTTTGAATTGAGCTTTGAATATTCTGGATTGGTATGTGATGAAATACTCTTTCCCTCATTTATAGATATATTTTTCTTTTTTATAGCCACCAATGGACTTACAACTTAATCATAGTTGTTTAGATCAGACATGTCTTGCTAATTATAAATGGGATTAATGTTAGTCTCTTTATAAATAATTCTGTTACCATTATTCGCTGCTGTTTATGCCCTCTATCCCAATGATTTGTTCATATTTACACTTATTTAACCTGAGGTTTTAGGTCTAGATTTTCCACTTTTCTTGCTTATTATAACTTATTTCCCCTCTTTTCCTATACTGCTTGTTGTGTTATTATTATTATTGTTGTTTTATGCACTCTGATAATTAAAAGACTGATTTTTTTATTCTAAGGATTCTTTATATTACATCTTCTTATCATACTCGTTGATTATCATTGTATTTCTCTACTTTATCAACTTTTACATCTTCACATATTAATTTGAGCCCCTTCTATTCAATCTTGCATTCAGACTGCTACTTGCAAAGTTATGAATCTTTCCTCTCTCTATAGGCGAATCAGGGACGTTTTGAGCGCCGAATCTAATTTAATCCTGCATCTAAAAATTCTTCTAATTTAGCACTTGAAATTTTTCATTTACCCTCTACTCGTCTAGTTTGTATTACAGACTGGCAGACATTGATAAGTTTTCCATTCTGGTGCTTTCAATCTTATTTTTAACAAAGTTGTATTTAAAGTGGCTTGAACTAATAGGATTCTAAGGTAATGTGAATATAGCTGGTTAAGTGACGTCTTTAATCATTTTAACTGGTTTATCAGGTTCAGTCTCTCCTGCAATAGAGGTCTAAGATATTGGATAACTACTCTGTTTAAGTTTGTCGTCAAAATTTTAAGAAGAATCTTAGTATTCATTCTGTTGGTTATTTTTTGTCTATTAGTAAAAAGCTGATTTAGCTTAGGGCTTATTATTTTCAATTCTGTTTAGACTCAAGTACTACTATGATTACTCATTGTAAAACTCTTTTTCACTCTCATAATTCTTGTTTCCTTAGCTCTCTAATTATCTAACACTCTAGTCAGGGCTAATGAATTTCTAACTTGCTGGAGAATACGGTTAGCTAGTATTTTTTCTCCTCTTAGCTTAAGGCAAACTTATTACTTATTTGATCTAGTAATCTCTTTTAGATTCATTCCCTTTTCTATCTCCAGATATATCCTTTTAAGAAAGCTTTCCTACATACGAAGAAAACTCAGCTCTAGATACTATGTTTGAGCTAGACAAATCTCTATTATAATTTCCACTTATTCTCTTTGAGATGAAATTCATACCACTTCTCCTAGAATTCTGCACTATTTTGTTTTCAAGTGGAGGCTGCTGGTACAATTGCTGAATAAATTGATTAAGATTGTTAGTATCGCTGTTTTAAATTGGGTTATGAATCTATGCAGTATTTCCACTCACATTTATATCTATTATTTCAGACACTTCTGGAAAGTTGTCCTCTATTTTCCTCATAGGAGAAACAGATTTCTTGGCATTTATTTATGAGCTATTTCTTTTTCCTGCTTGAGTAGCCATGCTAGTCTATGGTCTTCTCTTAGGGGATTCTCTTGGATCTAGTGCATTTAAAATTTTATTCATGCTCTTTCTTTTTTCTAACATAGCCTATCTAAATGCTTATCTTTTATCAAACATGGAGCAATAGCCCTTGTCCTCTTTCCATTTTTTTCTAAAAACTTCAATGAAAGCTTTCTTCTCTTAAAAGGATGGAGCATTATCAAATATTGAGTCATATTCAACCTGAGAAAGTCTGATATCGAATATATTACTGCTTCCACTTTCAGGTTTATTATGCAGTAGCCTCTGAGGTCTATTATGAGAGTTTTACTCATAGAGGTTCAGAATACCTTTTTCATGTTGTCTTAATTCGTAAATACTCATTTATGTGAAATTTTTAAAAGCATCTTGTTTTTAAGATTTACTCTATGGTAAAGACTTCTGAATGTCTTGAGTAGGGAAAGTCTTGATTGGAGACATTCTTGTCCTTGATTGCGAATTTGAACCTTTAGCCTGCCCACTAAGGGTATTATTGGCTTGTTGGTTTATTAGTTGATTCATTTCTTTTTTTCGTTTCAAATCCTCAATTATTTTCTACTTTTTATTGAATTTCAAGTTGAAAGTTAAGACTTATTCAATATAAGGTTGCTAGTTGTTTGATTTCTTGAATTCTTATATCCTATCAAGATCCTAAAGTTCCTACTAAAATGAATTTGATACAACTTATTTGAATTCGTGTTCATCGAATTTACAGATCTTATACTCTTTCTTTTGATCATCAATGGCAAATCTACTTCCATTAGAAGTTCTGAGCTTACTACGTGCAATAGAGGCATTGATGTATAATTAACCATTAATATTGGAATGAGACTAAACTTATTCAGCTTTTTACTCTATCCTTTTGGGAATATACGCAAGCCTCGGTTCTCTTGCTGAGATGATGTCCTTTTGAGTAATGAAATAGTCAACATGATCATTTGATGCGTTTTACTATTATTTTTGCGAAAAATTATCAACTTTGAGGTAATTATCGGACTAAAAGCTATCCATTATCTTTATCTAGTCATCTGTTTTCTGTTATTTCTAGATATCTTAGTGGTAGGATGCATACCTTTATCTTTAAGCACCAAAGCTCTTACTTTGAAATGACAGATTTTAATCTTGAGTATTGTAATTTCTATAATTTTCCAAATTGTAATCTCCCTTCTCAAACTTATAATTCATCACATCTTCATCTACAATTGATTCCTAGTCTTATTCCCCAGATTTCTCTGACTTCATTTTATTAGTGGTAAATACTTAGCATTTATTATTTAAATGGGAGAGCAAAGTATGCATTGTTTGCTCTTTTTCAACTATTCTGTGCTCAAGCAGTGACTTTTTTTTCTTAAGCAAGGCATTGTTGAGGTTCTAAGCCATTACCTTTAAATTTATTCTTAATTTATTTGTGAGTTATTAAATTTCTTTAATTTATATAATATCAAATATATTAGGAATTCTTAAATCAACCTTACGGGGTTTTGGGGTTTTGGGGTTTTGGGG